AAGGTATTGTTACTTGGTGTCTTATTCCTGTATCATTGGGAATGAAAAAAATTACATTTATAGATAAACCTATATATTTACGTACACTGCATAAATGGCAAATTAGCTTATTCAGACTATCATCTGACTAAACATTATTTTTCTTAGTGAACTCTAGAGGGACGTTCCATTGTAAACTATGTTCTTCCCCCTGCCAGGTCATTACTGTACATAAAGATTAGGTTTTACAGTTCACCTGGTTAAATAAAAAAAAGTTTTGATTGCATGAATTGTAAATTGTAATTGTGAGAGATCAATGGCAAGAGACTGGACAAGGTTTACATTTAGTTGCTGTAGTTTGCTGAGAGACCATGCCATGGTTGAACAGAAAGAAAACACAGCACTGCAGAGCACAAAGAAAAAAACTGTAGAGATGGGAACAAAATACATAATTGTTAAAACTAACACTGTGTCATGACACAGCCTCTGAAAACAAGTTCCTCTGCCTTCTCCTATGGAAATGCTGTCATCTGCACAAATGCAGACCTTCATCAGAAACAACCAATCATGGTCAGGAGGAGGGTCTTAGTGCTGTTAATCATTATTCTCACAATCCCACCCTCCCTCTCTCTCTGTTACACTACAGCTACATCATCACAACACATCTTGCCATGAATGCTCAGGCTAGAAACAATAGTCACCAACGAGAGCAGATAACACAGGTTTTCCAGAATAGTGAGTTGTTTCACCACCATTAGCACATTAAACAGCGAGTACATGAGGCTGACTGACAGCCCTAAGACCCTCCTCCTGACTCTGATAGGTTATTTGGAATCTATATTATTGGACTGAGTGAATTTATTTAAAATTTTCTGTATGGACTGGATGTGTTAAGTGCCTTCAGATGACATGTTTTGTGAATTGGTGCTATATAAATAAAACTGATTCAAATAAAAAACTCAGTTGTCTAAAATGATATTGACTACAGACAATTCAGTTAACGGAGTGGATAATTTCATGAGATAAGGCAAGGTTGGTTTGGTAAGATGAATGAAGCCAAATTTTAAATATCTGCTTTGTATTTACTCAAGTAATTCTGAACATTTCTGATGATCTGAATCATTTAGGGATGACTAAAAAGCAAAAATCGAACAAAAATTATTTTGAGGTGAAATATTTCTCATAGCATTGTATGAATCTGAAAATAAATTGAAGCAATGTAATGTCTCACAAAAAGAAATAAAGGCAGACAGAACATAAATAAAATGACCTAAAATATTTTATGTATTAAAGCAAAAACAAAAATTAAAAGAAATGCATAAACTCCATCTTTTGGAGTTCAGAAAAATGCCATGATCTAATGTATCCCAGTGTAAAACAAAGGACTTGAGATCAGACATAAACTTGTCAGTGAATTGGACTCCCTGTGCTGTAAAAGCCAAACGCACAGACACTTCCTGCCCTTCCCCTCCCCCTGGAGGTATGAGGCAGTGAAAGCTGTGTATGGAGCTTCCAGAGACACACACCTCAGTTTTATTGTGTTCAAATGAGACACATCGAAGGGCTACCAATTGACAAGGAAACGGTGCATCCAGCTTTTTGTCCTCTTTCCAGTAGTATTGTAGAGGGAGTGAAGAGGGAGATGGCTGATCTGAAAAGCACAGCTCTTTCTTGTCTTCAGTTGGACTAAATAGCACTCTCACAGTTCAAGCAAATGGTAGATGTCCAGACATTATATTAGTGAGAGTCATTAACAGCAGACAGCCAAGAGAAGAAATAAAAATACATTTGTTCTTTGATCCAGTTGCTCATCTAACTTCAGAAAGAGTAGAATAACAAATCAAGGCTAAGACAAGCCATTTAAATGTTCTTTTGTCCATTAGTTTGGCCATATTTGAACTAAAATTCAGTAAGATTAGCACTGAAAGTATTTTCATTCAGGAAGTTAAGAGAATAAAAAGATGCGAAGGTAGTGGACCACATGTGTACTGTAAATAAATTAAGGAGAGGAAAAGTGGCATCTGTCGAGAAAAGTCGAGCTCATCCCACTTCCCCATGCTGGAGATTTTAGTTTAATAATAACAA